CACCGCTGCCGTTGCGGCCGTCGCCACGGGTTTCCTCGGTTAGTTTTCACTTCGATCACAACGTCACCATCCATGTCTTCTCGAGAAAGTAAACATTGGTCGCTGATGCCTTGTGCGCCCCTACCTTCCAGCCTACGCCGTCTACTTCGACTATAAGAGGCGCAATGACCCCGAGTTTAGGAGACAGCTCAGACGCAGCGCCAGGCGACAGGCCCGCCAGGAGAAGGAATACGCCGAGTTGAGCCAGCAGGCCCAGAGACAACGGGTCAGGCAAATGGTCGATGAGGCCAAGGAGGAGGGCTTCCCTACCACTTCGGATGAGAAGGAGGCCTACTTCCTCGAGCAGGTCCAGGCTGGCGAGATCTTGGGTCAGGATCGTAAGTGATCTGCCAACCAAGCGGGAAGAAGAAGAAAAAGGGATTCCTGGAACAATCTGTCGGCTAACACTTCCGTCTGCAACAGCCACCAAGGCCGTCGATGCCGCCCTCGCTTTCTACAAGGCCCTCAAGGTCTACCCCACGCCCGGCGACCTCATCAGCATCTACGACAAGACCGTCGCCAAGGTAAGAGAGAAAATACGCCCAGTAGCACGAGTGGAATGGAATGGAATGTTTACTGATCCGACGGACAACAACAGCCCATCCTCGACATCCTCGCCGAGATGATCGCCTACGACCCTAGCCTCAAGATTGGCACCAACTACACCGGCGGCGTTGACGTTGCCGAGCTCATGCGCGAGATGGCCTCCGCTCCCGGTGTCGGTCTCGACTAAGCGAGTTCACCAAACAACAAAGCAAGAAGCAAAATGCTAGGGAGACGAGACAGCAATAGCCCACCTCCCAAAAAAAAGTCCGGAGGTGTCGGTTGATGTTGTGGTGATGGTCCCCCGCAGTCCCGTAAGAGGGGCTTAGTAGGGGGATTTGGTGGTTACGGTTGTTGGAAAACGGCGCGCGTGAAGACGCACCAACAATAGCTTTTTGTGGACGAAATGATGAAAAGCTAGGAATAGTGGAAACAGGAGCCTTCCAACGGACGACCCCCGAGATCGATATACCCAGCCAGCTAGAAGAAAAAAGGGGAGGCTAGCGGTCCTATGCATCCAGTCTGACACCTACTCCCCACTCCCTTGCACCACCACACTTCAGCTCTCTACCCCGGACCGCTCTCCCCGGTCAGTGTTTCTCATATCACCACTCTTGCAAAGCCCAAACAGGTCAGCAGGTTTATGGGCACCACACGCTCCCTCTTCATCAGTGGCTGGCTGGCTAGTATCTTAAGGGGGGCTCAGGTTCGAACCCTCTCCCGAACTACGCGACTACCATCTTGTACAATATTTCTGTTCTGTTCTGTTCCATGTTTCGGAGACGCGCGCGCCTCCTATTTATCCTGTAGCATCATGTACATAGCGAAACCGGGGTCCCATCAGGAAAAGACGGACGGTGATTTCAGCATACGCATACGGGGAGAGGCAGGTACAGGGCGTACGCAGGCCATTTCAGGGGTGTGCTTAATGAGACAAGAAGGTAAAAAAGATATTTCCAAAGTCCAAACCGCATATCCGATCCTTTTTTTCCAGAGAACCTAAATTAATTTCACACCATATACGACATATTGGGCATCTTGGACGTTATGTACGTTGTTATTCCCTATATACCTATCATTCTGGTTCCTACCGAGCCTACATAGCTCAGCCCCAACTTCTTCTATGGCGCCTCAATCGGCCTACCCTTCCTATCCACCCTCTGATCCCTAGGATCAAACCCGCCGTTACCCCAAGTCGCCCACTCGGGCGTCGCGGCGCCCATGTAGTCCTCAGGGGTAAAGTCGCCATCGGGTCCCTTCTCCTCAAGCAGGTTGAAGAATTTCTCATAGTCGATAAGCGTGTGCCACTTCCCGTCGACATTGAACCGCTCGCTGGCCAGCAAGATGCAGCAGCTGTGCGCGTGCTCGGCGGCAATACCGTACTTGAGCCCACGCTTGTTTAGCGCCTTGTTGAGCGCGACAACAAAGTCGCACACCTCCTGGTAAAAAGGCACGTTGGCCATGGTCAGACCGGCGCTTCCCGCCGTCGACGTGCCGCAGTACGTGACGCCCTTAATCTCGACGAAGCAGGGGAGACCCTTCTCGACCAGGTCCGCGTACCCCTCAACCTCGTCCTCGAGGTTGAAGTCCTTGACCAGCGTGAGGCGGAAGACAGTGCGCTGGCGGAAGCGGCGCTCGCGCAGAATGTCGAGGCAGCGCTGGAAGCGCTCCCAGAAGTCGCGGTGCAAGGGGCGGTCGATGCGACGCAGGGATTCCTTGTTGGAGGCGTCGATGCTGACGTACAGCTGCGTGACGTGCTGTAAAGCGGCGAGCTGGTCCGGGTGCTGGGCGTTGCAGACGAGGAAGGAAGAGATGCGCTCCTTGTGCAGCATGCCGAGGAATTCGTTGATATACGGGTAGAAGATGGGCTCGCCGACTAGAGACAAGGCGCAATGGCGGATGCGCATGGCCTCAGCGAAGCGCTCAGCGCGGACGCCAGGCACGCCGCGCATCATCTTAATCTTCTTGTAGTGGTTCTCCTTGACGCCGTTGAAGATGAGGTCGGGAGGGTCGACGACCCAGCGCCACGAGGTGCCGACTGGGTTGGTGCCGTGACGCCAGCAGAAGACGCACTTGTTGGAGCAGGAGAGCGAGGGAGTGGTTTCCATGCACTGGTGAGAGTTGATGCCGTAGAAGGAGTACTTGTAGCAGGAGCCGCGACCACGGAGGGCGGACTTGGTCCAGCGGCAGATCTTGACGCCGGAGTGAGAGCCGACAATGGCGTAGCCTTGCTTGGTTAGAGACGTGTATGTGGGCGAGCCAACGGGCACCATCTCCTTGATGGTAACGGTCGCTGTCTTCTTTGCCCGGACGGCCTTTCCGGTCTTTCCGAAGTCGGTAAAGTCGATCGCAATCGGCGCGGCTTGTCCATCTCCCTGTGTCTGTTTGATGATGCGTCCCAGATCCTCGACATCTTCGAGGGTCTTCTTGGACTCCGACTCCTCGTACACAACCTCACCGTCATCCTCCGCGATATCTTCGTCGTCGCTTTCGATGGGCTCGCCAGAACCGGGAACGCCCTCTCCAAGACTTCCTGTTTGCTCGATCATCTTGAGAACGTCCACCACTCCGGATTGCCATTCCGACAGTCTCTCCTTACCGTCCCGCTTGTAGTCGCCCATGCCGAGAGGGAATGCGCGCTTGCGCCCTGTAAGCTTAGCCATCCACTTGTCCACCTGCTTAGCCTGCACGCAGTAACCCTCCTCCTCTGTAGGCCATCCATCTCTATCGCCATATCCAAACACTGAGTATCCAAGAAGCGGGGCCAATGGGGATGTATCGATGCGGAAGTCGTGGTGCGTCTCGTCCAAGTGCGCAAGGAAGGTGTCGTTGATCGAGTCGATGTTATAGCTGGGAATAATAAGCAGGTAGAAGTAGTCGACAGGACCGTCCGCAGTTGCCTTCGGGGGCGAAATGAAATATTCGTCGTAGTCGATTTCGGCGAGGTCGAGCACCTGGGGGGCCAAGAAGTTGCTCTCGGCTTCAGATTTTCCAAGAAGCAAGTCTCCGAGTTCCTTTGCGAAATCCTTGGTGTACCGTTCGGTGTTGCCCGTGAGTGACGAGTAGAAGACGAGGACCTGGATCTTGCGCGGTCCTTCGCTTTCGCTACCGCTGTCGTTGCCATTCGTTCCCTTCTTCGTGCGGACCTTGTCGCCCTTTATCCTCTTGGGACCGCCATTGGAAGCCTTCTCCTTCTTTGCGATGCCAGTTTTCTCCTTTATTTCCTTCTCGACGTTCGCCGTTTCCTTCGTCTTCTTGTCGGTTTCGTAGATCTTGGGCAGGACGAGTAGCTCCTGTCTCGGTTCCGAATAGAGATGGAGGTACGTCCTCAGTAGGCCCAATAGAAAAACGGCCGAGAGTAGGATTGGAATCCGGTGTTCGTGCCACAGTTCCACGGCATCTGATGTAGGTCGGCGCAAAGGGTACAATTAGCTTTCGCGAACCAATGCGACTCCGGTGTCACCCCAATATCGTCCACTGAATGCGCACGCGGGCAAGAGAACCGAAAGAGAACAAAAACAGTTCGAGATGGGATGACATACAGCGAGCAACCTCGGCGACGGTGACCGGGTCCACAAGCGGAATTTCGAAAGCCATGACTGGCCTGGGGTTGTTGGTTTCCCTGGATGGGACAGGTTACGGCATACGCAACCGAGTTTGTGAATATTTGTGTTTTGCAAAACAACAAAGATGAAGGCGCTCGTGAAAGTTTTTGGGGCCCCTCCAGCGCACAGTGGAAAATCTTGCCCCGCACTAGGGAGGAGCTACAGAAAAAGAACTGGGCCTTTCAAGATCCCTGCAAAGGTCATTTGTGGAGTTGCCGCTTTAGCGCTATGCGGGGCCGGGACCCCAGGGGCGTGTATCGAACAACACCATAAGACATCCGCGACTCTTAAACATGGAAGAGAAGAGGTATGGTAGCATTGCTGCAGTTCAAGATTGTGCGTCTTTCAGGGGCATGAAGGATTTTATTTCAGCTTATGCACGGAATAGGAAATGTCTGCTCTTTTTTCGAGCTGGCCTGTACAATTTGGCTTCCATATCAAGCGTATCCCGTATGAAATAATGAAATGTACCCAATGTCACGCTCAAGCTGTATCCAACAATGATTTGATAAAGAGATCTATCAAAAGGCACAAGCCATCCACATCAAGGTCTTATCGTCCCACAACACCTTCATCACTGTCCTCCTTCTCAACATCGTCATGCACCAGTATCCCGTCATCTTGTCTTCCACGACTCCCCGATCCTTCAGCCTGAACAGGAACACGCCTATATGTCCCTAACCCATCCTCAGCCAATCCTTCAGCCGAGGCACCCACGGACTTAGTAGCACCATTGCCACTGCGACTGCCAGTACCATGTCCATCGTCTCCATCCTGTTTCGTGTCTTTAGTCCCTTCGCTCTCATCTTTCCGTCCGATAATGACATTCCCAACAACCAGCATAGCGGCGCCCACCCACCACATAGGCGGTAACGCCTCGGAGAAGATGACAAATCCGAGCATGGCGGTGATGACAAAGTTGCTCGAGGTGTTCATGATGGACACTTGCGTGGTGGAATGACCGCGGGCGAGAGCTTGAGTGAAAAGGGTCCACATCTGTAAGAGGGGTAAAAGGGTGAGTATGGGTGAAATGATGACAAGGGAAACCAGTGAAGAGAGATTGATGGAACTTACTACACCGTTAAACACGAGGTTCAGTCCGAAGAAGATCTATCATTGTAAAAAAAAGATATCAGGTCAGCTCTCATTGTCTCTTCACAGCAGCATTACATAAACGGTCAAGTCACAACAGCAGCACTTACACCTCTAACAATAACCTCAATCATCTTCTCTTCTTCAGTAAGGTGCAGCAGCCTGGCAATAGCATCGGAGAAGGTTGAAGTGAGTTCCGTAGTTGTCCTAAACATTCAGCAATATTAGCCTCTTGAAGTCACCACTGCAGACTGTGGTCAACCACACCCATCACCACATCAAGTCATCAACAACCACAATCATAGACTTACAACTTCGCAAAAGCCCCATTAAACGCAGCACAGGCTCCACTAGCCATGGCAAGCACAATCCAGTGATTACGACTTGCCCAAGTGGTCTTTCCCATAGGCTCAGCGGTGGCAGCAATACTGGCTTGAGCATGGCCGCCATCCAGAAGTGGCCGACGTTCATCCTCATCCGCTTGCACTCGCTGAGCAGACTCCATCTGTTTAGCTGCCGCAGGTGGCCTTCCTCTTCTTTTCACAGCCGGTTTAGGTTGTTGTTCCGTTGATGTCGATGTGGCGAGAGTTACCGATGGTGTTGATGCAGATGAATATGTTGTTGTTGATTGTGATGGTGATGATGAGTCGGTAGGGTTGAGGCGGGCGCTGCGGCGTGTCATTGTTGCGGGCAACAGGAGATTCCCGCTAGAGTTGGGATTGAAGTGGAAGTCAAGGCAAAACGCCGAATGCGGCGGGGCAAACAGCAGACGGAATGGGACGGAAGAAGTGGGTTCTGTTCGGGCGGGTTCCCCGGGCGATCACTTGTTGTTTTGGAAATTTCAGGTTGCCAGCTCTGGGCTGACGGATGGTGATGCAGGTTTAAGGAGCTGGCCCAAGAAAATGCAGATGTTGGTACAGGTATCTAGGTTGCTGCTCCGACTTTTTTTGTAGCGATGTTGATTGGCCAGGGCTAAAGGTGCCATAGATGCGCCCCCTTTTTCGTGAAGCAGCGCAGGTGGCAGCCTGATGCTGGACATTGAATGACTCCTGCTACAACAAACTGATAGCTTATGATGAGAATCCCCCGATATTTATGTCGTTGTCAAGCTTAGAACAGATTTTCTTTACTCATTGTTCACCAATCATTATAGGCACATTGTAAGCACCAATCTTTATATCCCAACCAAAAATTGAACGAAAAGCCATTAGATGCGGGCGTGAGCCCGGAAACCACAAGATTTATAGAAAACCGGAATGGGATATCTTGATATGTCAAACTTTAAAAACCTGTTCCCTTGATCGTTCGTCGAGTGTTCCTGTAGCCCAAATTTCGCAAGAAAAAACCATAACGCCGTTGGCATGCGATCCGATAGTGTCTGCTGCATTCCCGAACCCAACGCCAGCTCCTGTCTGATGAGTGATATGAAGCCAAATCATAACGAAAGCCTGAAAGCAAAAACCATAAAGCAACCCGTTCCAGCGCAAGCTAAGTGCATCCCGCAAAGCCGCCGGTCTTATCGTTTGGACGTTTCCTTCCGCCCACTCTTGAGGAGTTTGCCCGTTTCGAAGAGTCGTGGTGTTGCTGCGTGCTGCGCGATGGTCTGCCGCATCCCCGGCGCTCCCTGTCGGCGGGATGATCGAAAATGCCACTCTCGTGGTCCATAGGTAGGGCACTTTTTTGAAGTGATGTTCCTGTTTGACAAGGCGTGGACCGGTAGGAACCTGTTTTTCAATCGCCTCCGGTTTACTTTTCGTCACTGCGCTTCGCGCTGCAGCTCACGATCTTGACCTTGTCTGCCGTAACCACTGACTGACCGCCATCCATCTTGAAGGTGACATTCTTGATGAGGAAGGTCCAGACTTCGTCGCAGAAGCGATAGGTATCAAGCGATCCCTGTATGTTACTCGCCGGCAAGATGCCAACAACAGTTAGCCATCTAGCTCTTTGATAGCACAGGAGTAATGGGGTGCTCGAGCACATGGAAACGGAAGGGTATGTATAAGATGTATTGCTTCTGTATTTCTGTCCAAAGTGTACATGAGGTCGGGACAAGTGAAGACCTTCGGTATGACCGATGGAGCAGATAGGAGTATTCGTGGGTCATGTAAGATCCGAAAAAGTAGGATATTCACCTTGAAGGTCAAACGGGCCTTGACTTTCTCATTGAGAGCCTCAGTGATAACTCGATCGAACTGCATGAGAACCTTCATCGCGAGCTGAGGATCCATGCGTTCCGCCCCAATGAGGTCGTCGAGTGCATCGGTCAGGGTTGAGCCAAGACTGGAAAGGGTTAGCATACAGAATGTCCTCTATAATCCGAGAGCGTAGTCAGCGCCCCAAGTAGCACTGCAAAAGGCCACAGTGAGACTGGCAATATGTACCTGCCATGGCGATACAAGTCGTAGTAGTTTGTGTTCCCGTTAGCCGCCATTTTGTCCTTTTAATTCGATTTACTTGAGATGCACGGCGACGTTCGGGGCGGCGACGGCGATGATAAATCGTTGTTTTTGTTGATGAAAAGGTGAAGGTTGCTTAAATAGTCTGGGAGAAAGAAGAGGAAGGGTCAGGGACAATTGGCTGAGTCAGCAGCAGTCGCCCGTAGGCAGCGTCATCAGTCACGTGTGGCCTGAAGTTATAGCGCTGTCGCGGTGGCACGGGTGGCTGGCAGGCACACTCTGGTAGCCGCTGTCACTGGACCGCAGTGCCTTGGGATGAAAGTGCCCGGTGGAAGGTACGTACTGTAGCGAATTGGCGCGTTGTTGGACGGCTCATCAATCCACCATCCACCCATGAACATCATCGAGGTTCCTGGCTAGCATTTAAACGACGATAACAACGACGACGACGGCTGCCTCCAAGAAGGTCGCAACGAACCTACCCAGCTTCTACCGAACCCGAATTTTTCTACATTGTTCGACAAACACACATTCGCAAACATGAGCTTGACATATGGCGCCGGCGGGATAGGAACGTCCCTGCTCGTTATTGGAGCTTGTGAGTATATGACATCCTGGGAATGGCTTCATTGTAGCCAGGCAGTTAGTACTGGCTGGTACTATGCGCCTGTATCATCCCTAGACCGTCTTGACTAACAAACCATCTAGACATGCTCTTTACCGGCAGCGGCGAGGCTTTCAATGTAGGCTTCGTGAATCCTTCCAACAAAACCCACTCGACGTCATCCTCTGACACCCATGGAATCTGAATAGGTCGGAGCTTTCCTCGAATCGGTATCACCATATGCCTGGGCGGATCTGGGTATCGCGCTTTGCATAGGTCTTTCCGTGGTGGGCGCAGCATGGTATGTTTGGAAATGGCTTCAACGGCGCATGGCGTCAGCTACTACTTGACAAGACACTTGACTAACCACCGGGTTGATCAAACAAACAGGGGCATCTTCATCACCGGCTCCTCTATTCTCGGTGGAGGTGTCAAGGCGCCACGAATCCGGACCAAGAACTTGATCTCCATCATCTTCTGCGAAGTCGTCGCCATCTACGGCGTCATTATGGCCATCGTGTTCTCCGCCAAGCTCCAACCCGTCACTGGCGAACAATACTACTCGGGCGACAGCTACTACACGGGATTTGCGTTATTCTGGGCCGGCCTTACTGTCGGCATGTGCAACCTGGTGTGCGGTGTTGCCGTCGGTATTAATGGCAGTGGTGCTGCGTTGGCGGATGCTGCTGACCCTACGCTGTAAGTTTGCCTTGTCGCGAATCGGATATAGAAGTCGTCAAGTCATGTTACTAACGTGCCATTCTCTACAACAGCTTCGTCAAGATCCTTGTCATCGAAATCTTCAGCTCCGTCTTGGGCCTTTTCGGCCTCATTGTTGGCCTGCTTGTTTCCGGTAAGGCCCCGGATTTCGGCAGCACACAGTAGAGACGGATTAGAAAGGAGAAGAAGAGGCTTCCTTGCTTTCTTTTCTCTCATGCATCTTGGTATGCACACAAACACAACACATCACAACTTCTTCGGGCTGCTAGCAATCAGCAGGCTTTTCGGTGCTAGCTAGCGGGCGTGTCTAAGTCTATGTTCAAGGTCAACATTGTCACCGGCGTTTATTGGAAGAGGCATTGGGATGGTTAAACGATTAGGGCGCGGTCGGCATCATCGCACATGAACAGAAACGGGGGTAGAAGCTTTCAGGTTGTTTTTGTACAAACATGAAAAAGAGGTCAGTATCGTTATGGAGTTCATTAACATGTTTATTTGCCTGGGGCTGTGACCCTTGGTCTGTTATCTACATATCATGTTTTATGATCACTCACATGTCACTTCGTAAACCGCCCATAAGCAATGCTTCCACCTTGACCCCCTTCCGCAACTGTTCTGGACCGCTAGGCAAGGCGAGAAGCGCGTTCGCCCCTTTCATGCTCCCTATCATCGAGCTCCTCTGTCCTCCTGTGCTGACCGCGGTGAACACTCCATCCTTATTCACAGAGACGATAGCCCGGTGATACTCGGGTCTAGACCTATCCAGCGAGAAATCATGACCCAGTGTCACGGGCAACTTTGGCAAGCCAGGTGGCGAGATGCCGGACAATTGGTGCAGGGACGGCAGCACAAACAAGTGAAACGTAACCAACGCCGATGCCGGATTCCCCGGTAGCGAGAAGATCACCTTGGAGACCCTCTCGCCGTCGTTATCTTTCACCGGAACGGTAGCAAACGTGGTGGGCTTGCCAGGCTTCATCGCCACCCGACCAAAGTGAATCGTGCCGCCCAACGACCGTTCTATCGTGGGCTTGAGGAGATCCAACTCGCCCATGGACACTCCGCCTGTAGTGATGACTACGTCAACCTGCCTCAACGCCTGTCGCAGCGTCTCCTCCAGAGTCCCAGCCTTATCCCGCGCCACTCCAAGATCAATCACCTCATACCCCCAGTCTCTCGCCGCCGAGATGAGCGTTGGCCGGTTCGTATCGCGCACCTCGCCCAGCCGCAAGTCCCCCGGGCGATCATGGTCCACAATTTCATCACCCGTAGACAAAACGCCCACAACAGGACGTCGGTACACCTGCACCTCGCCCACGCCCACGGCGGCTAGCAACCCAATCTCACCACCCACCGCAGACACCTGGTCCCCCTTGCCCAGAATTCGTTGGCCCTGCTTGATATCACTACCCACCTCCCTCACATTCTCGCCTTCGTGGACTTCATCTGCCGCCAGAATATTCACCTCCTTTTCCTCCTCCACTCCATCCTCCCCAGTCTTTTTCTCCGTCGACACCAACACCGTATCCTCAACCATAATAACTGACGTCGCCCCCGGCAGCAGCGGAGCGCCGGTAGTAATCCTCGCGATCTCGCCCTCCTTTAACGTCGGCATATCCTCACCGGGCGCCGCATGGGAAACGGAAACGACGGGGAAAACTCCACGCATGTTCCCGTCCTGGGGCACGACCACGGCGTACCCGTCCACGATGCTGGCGCGGAAGGCGGGCACGTTCTCGCGCGCTGAAACGTCCTGCGCCAGAACGGCGCCGACAAGCGAGCTGTCGACCTTTGCCGTGACGACCTGCGGAGAGGGTGTGTGTTGCGCTATTTGGGAGAGCGCTTCGGTGACGGAGAGCATGGGGTAGGGAGATTCGCGGTGGCGGCGGCTGGGGCCGAGGTGGGAGTCGTTGGATTGGGTCGGAGCTTGATTAGGGGTGGTGTGGCGGACGTAGAGCGCCGTGGCCGTGGCCATGACCGTGACTATGGCCGTGTCCGCCGCAACCTCCTCCACCTCCTCCTCCTCCTCCTCCTCCTCCTCCTCCTCTGTGTTCCCCGTGGTCATGGTGCTTATGCCCGTGTCCGTGCCCATATCCATGTCTACCACGTCCACCACCTCCTTCCACCCCCGCCTCCTTCTCCAACCTCTTCACTCCGCCCTTATGCAAAGCTCTCGAGTTAGCACCAGCAGCTTGCAAGCAAGCATGTGGCAACATATTGATCACCGCCTGCAGATTCTCCTTCGCACCCTTGGGAGACCCCGGCAGCGTGATGATAACGGTGCCATTCCTAACGCCAGCCACAGGCCGCGACATCATGGCAAAGGGGGTAACCTGCAGCGAAGCCGCTAGCATGCCATGGACTAGGCCGGGAGCTTCCTTGTGGAGGAGAGCGGAGACGGCTTCGGGGGTTTGGTCAGACACGGCAAAGCCGGTGCCGCCTGTGGTTACGATGAGGTTGATGGTGTTGTCATTGGGGGTTTTGTCAGTCCAGAGGTGGATCTGCTTCTGGATTTGCACGACATCGTCGGGGACAATTTTGGATTCATGAACCTCCCATAGCGATCCTTGGCCTTGTAGTTGTTGTTCTTCGAAGACCTGGCGGAGAGTGACGTCGGCGAAGTCCGTTGCGGGGTCTTGAGATGCTGTTGTTGAGACGATGAGGATGGCTGCTTTCAGCGCTGGTGTAGGACTTTCTGAGGACATTTCTGGGGATATCACACGGGTTAGAGTTGGGTTGCCAATTCTAAAAAAAAAAAAAAAAAAAAAAAAAAAAAAATTCACCCTGTTCGTGCCCAAAGTTCCCAGAGTATAGAGGGGAACATCGTGATGGTGTCATGGTGTTGATGTTCCTTGGTGTGGTAGCTGATAAGATAAGCATCCTTGTAAATGACAGGGAATAATTAGCCAAAACACGTGGGGAAATGGAGCACTGCAGAAAGGGAGTGGATCGCTGAGAGCTTGAATGGTTGCTGTTGCCGGCGGCAAACAATTTGTAACTTTCAGTGTCTTTTGGGCAGTTTGAATCATTCCAATGGTAATTCACTTCCATTTCACTTTACAAACATCCGTGACAGCATCCTCACCACTGCTTTTCTCTCAAAACCCGCGACAGCACCGAATCCAGTCTTCTCTAGTTGATTTCATACCAGGTTTCTACAAACTCGATTTTTTTAAAGACAACGACACCGATTTGGAAACTTCCACAACAATGGTTCGCCTTAAGGATCGCTATCTCTTAGTCAACATTGTCTACACAGACCTTCCCCCTGGACAAAAGGGCTCCGTACCCGATGTGCTGCTCTATAACCAGCCCACCATCGGAGAACTCAGGCCCCAAACCATCTTGAAGGGCATTCGCAGTCAGGTGAATGCGTTATTTGGGGACTGCGGCTCAGGCTCAGTCGAGCGCAGCCTACAAGGTAAACACACATCACTAGCACTCAATGACTTACACTTGATGATAGTGGCCACTAGGCTAACTTGGTTCAATAGTCAAGTACCTCTCTACTGCGACCTCAACCTTCATCCTGCGTATCTCACGAGCCCATTACAGGCTTGTTTGGGCCGCCTTGACTTTCATGGACCGCCTCCCACTCAAGGATGGCAGACCTTGCATCTTCCGTGTTGTCAGAGTTAGCGGCACCATCCGTAAGGTCGAAGAAGAAGCCATCCGCCGTGCCAAGCTCCTTGTCCTTGCGGCAAAGGACGAGATGGCCGGCAAGGCCTCACCATCAGACGCCCTCAATGCTCTCTTCCGCGGCGGTAAAGATTCAGCTCGTAATCTGGCCTTGGTCAATGATGACCATGATGACGCAGAGATGGACGAGGGCGAGGTCTCTGATGGATGAACAGCTAGTATGCTATTCAATCATCACGTCTTAGGCTGCTTACGCGTTACCCGAATACCCGAGCCAGCGGTTATCTGTGGCACCACACCAGGTATCGAGCCAGCATCGAGGCCTGCTTCCTCAGCAGCCCGAGCCTGCTCTGCCCGAAGTTTCTCCTGTTCTTTCTCCTCCTTCCGCTCCATCTCGTCGTACTCCTCTTTGTTGTCAATCCACCGTTCCTGGATATCAAGGGCATCGGGCAATGACGACTCGTTGCGCATGGCAACCTGCCAGACAGTGTCGTTCGTACCCTCAGCACCGCCAAAGACGTATCCGCTTGCTCGATCAATCACCCGCAATAGATGCATCATGCTCTTCTTGTTTTCGACTGCCAGCACCTCGAAGCTGACGAGGCCAAACTGTTCGACCATGTTCGCAACCGCTTCGTTAAGCTTGGTGAATTTCCCTTTCTTGAGGGCAGGCGACTCTGCGTCGAGAGACGGCATGAGGTACCGTAGGTCTTGTACTTCGGTATAATAGTCGAGGTTGAAGGGGAGAGGGTCGTACGACGAGATTTTGTCGATCTTGGTCAGGACGTTGATATGGGGAAGGTCCATCTGCAGCATGGCGCGCAAGGAGAGGAGGACGTTGGAGATATAGAGCGATGGTTGTGTAAGGCAGAAGCAGTCGGAAAGGTGTACAACTACCAGCTACAAGGGAGTTAGCGAACTGGCCGCGATTTGGACGGAGGAGGAATAACGCATACCCTGTAGCCCAGCTTCTGTAACCGGTAAAAGATGTTGCGCAACGAGTTGTGGTGGGTGTAAAGCTCGACCTGACCGGGGCAGTCGAACAGCACATAGTCTTCTCCAAGCTCCTTGAGACCGTTCTCGAGCCATTCCATATTGTTTTCCAGCTCCTCAAGCGCATAAAGAATACCGCCATTGGGGCCCAACTTATCGTCCGCCATGATCTCCTCCAGAGTGACAAGGTCGCGAATGTCGAGCGCGCACGGGTAGTTGGTGTGGTCGTTCGCAGGGTCGAGATTGATTACTGAACATTGTCGCCCGATGGCGCCCATAAACTGTTGCACTTGAAGTTGAAACATATGTTAGCACCCGTATAAGTACTCCCATAAAGGAAGAAGCTGGGACGCAAACTTACTGCCATCGCAGTATGTGCTCTTCCCTGCGCCGGGACTGCCAAGTACTAACTGTCCAAATGGCATTGTTACTGATAGGTCTGAGGTGCCGTTATGATATGTAATGTGGGTTCTCGTTGTTTCTCGTGGGTATGAAAGGCGCAAAGTTTGGGTGTCCGAGGGAGAAGCTGTTAGAGAAACGGGAATGCTTTCAGTAATGAAACCCCACTGAACTGTCGGCTCGTGTCTTGAGATGACGGAACGTCGCCCACCCCTCCACCAAATTCTAGAACGCCTTGTGGATCTGCGGCAAGGTTGACAAGGGTCCGGTGCTTAACCCGGCATCTGCAACCCACTCTAGCCTTCTCATCTTCCAATCAGGTTCCCGACCCAGCTCGGGAAAGGACCGTGAATCAGGCGGTAATTCGCAGCAGAACTTTGTTTACTTGGGCAAGGTCGACGTCGCTGAAGTCGCACTCCTGGTCAAGCTCCCCTCGACCAATTCCACATTTCGTCGTCCCGATTACCAACAGCTTCGAAGTTGCGTCAACACCACATCGGCTTCAATCCACACACAGCATACCACATCCATCACAATGGCTCCTTGTAAGCTCAGAATATCTCTCAAAGCTACTACCACATGTCCTCCGTCCTGGCTAACATCACGTCAATCCTAGCAACGCAATTCGAAGTGTCGCAGCCGCCCAGTGACGTTATCTCGGCCGTTGTCTTTGCTCCCGATAATACAAACCGCCTTCTCGTCTCTTCCTGGGACAGGAACATCTACCTTTACGAGATTGCCGAAGGAACTGAAGATGCCACCCTACTCAACAAGTTCGAACACCGTGCTCCTGTCCTCGATGTCTGCTTTGGTGCGAACGGAAACGAGGCCTACACGGCGGGTCTGGACAACTCGGTCAAGAGGTTCGTGGCACACATGGCTTACCCAACTATGGGCGTCAACCATGGCAGAGAGTTCCATTGATGCTAATCCGAATTGAACAGAATCGACCTATCTTCAGGAGAGCAGACCGTGCTGAGCACACATGAGAAGCCCGTCCGATGCGTCGTCTACAGCCCCCAGCACTGTAAGTCCGATCCATTTCAGTCCAACCACCAGCCTACCCATCACACTCGACGGACATCTGAGATCGCGCCCCCTTTGACTAACTCTCAGTCCTTCTCTCATAGCCATGCTCATCTCCGCCTCCTGGGACCACACCCTCCACGTCCACAACACCAACGCTCCGACCTCGACCCCGATCACCATCTCGCTTCCCGGAAAGCCGCACGCCCTGGCCGCCAGCCCCTCCAAAGTCGTCGTCGCCATGACCGCGCGACTAGTACACATCTACGACCTTCCCGCGCTCGCCGCGGCGCTCTCGTCGGCCGACCCCGCCTCAGCGACCATCACCCCCTGGCAACAGCGCGAGTCCTCGCTCAAGTTCCTCACGCGCGCCGTGGCCTGCATGCCCAACGACGCCGGCTACGCCACCAGCTCTATTGAAGGCCGCGTGGCGGTCGAGTGGTTCGAGGACACGGCCGAGTCGCAGGCGCGCAAGTACGCCTTCAAGTGCCACCGGCAGACGGCACCCGAGGAGGAAGGTGGCGGCGACGTGGTCTACCCCGTCAATGCACTTACGTTCCACCCCGTGTACGGCACGTTCGCTTCGGGTGGTGGTGACGGCACCGTGGCGCTGTGGGACGCCGAGGCCAAGCGCAGGATGAGGCAGTATCAGAAGTTCCCCGACAGCGTCGCGGCGCTGGCCTTCTCGAATAACGGCAAGTATCTTGTCATTGGCGTGTGTCGCGGGTTCGAGACCGACATGGAGGATTTCAACAGCGAGGGGAGGACGAAGGTGTTTATCAGGGAGCTGGGCGAGACGGAGGCGAAGGGCAAGGGTCCTAAGTGAGCCACTTGAGTTCACTTGTGCTTTTGCTTCCTGTTGTCTGTAGTCTCTCTTCACTTCCTACTGTCTTGTGTGACATCTTTCCGGGTATAATATTAGGTGCAATCGGCGTTTTATATGATATGGGACAACGGGCGGGCGGGGGTCATTATGAGGCATTGCTATTTGCGGAAGAATACGTCGTCGAAAAAAAGGTTAGATCGACATTGCGAGTTTTTGATAATTGAATGGCCTGGTCATCATCAAGACTGATCAGATGAATGGAAAATAAGCATGATCAGAGAGCCCGGTTCTATATGACTGATCCCTTGAATCACAAGTACCTATTGCATCGAAAGTTCCCAGAACTCCATATCACTGGTATGTTCCAACTCTCCTGTATGATACATGTTTTTGACATAACAATCAACTTAAAACCTGGTAAGCTTTCCGACAAATTGATGACCATCCTCTACCTTTAGGGTCCCACAAACCAATCATCATCACCAACCACCGAAATCAGCTAGTATCCTCATTACAAATACTTCATGTGCTAGGAATCCCCTACTTTGTTCTCTATCACCTTGCTAAACCGCAGAGTTCGACCTCCTAAGCCCCGTATTCCCCGGCCTGGAAGAAGTGGAGGGCACGGAAGGCACCGATTTGGCTCTCGAATTCAAAGGCCTCGGAGGAGTGGGGGTATGAATGTCAGTTTCCGAGATGTATGTCTCCCAGCCTGAACCTGGGGAAGTCTCCTCTTGATGGTTGCTCCTCTGACGCTGTGTCTGACGGTAATGTGGTGCTCCGAGACTGTCATGGGAGGTGGCTTTGGGAAGCTCTGCTGTGTCAATCGCATTCAGGTTCTCAGTTCCGCGTTCCGTCGGCTCGGAGTTGGAGTTGAAGCTGGACTTGGACTTGAACTTGACACTGGTGCTCTCTTTGATGGTGACTGGGCTTGGAGGTCCATCCCATATCTCGATATGGTTGGCTGATTGTACTTGTTCTTCTGCCGGCTTTTTGACTGGCCCATCGAGAGGGTTTCCGACAGGCTGTTCAAGACCTTTGGGAGACTCTTCGGCAGGCTGTTCAAGAGACTTCTCAACGGGCTCTATGATAGCAAGCTCTTGAACAGCAAGCTCTTGAACAGCAGGCTCTTGGACTGGGCTCTGGACAGAATCTTCGCTAAGCACTTCAACAGCTTCTTCTTGTTGCGCTTTGAGAGTAGCCTCTTGTTGTTGGTCGTCCTGTTGGTGATTGAAAGGAGAGTGTCCTGGAACCTTCTTTCTAGCCGGAGGCTCGCCCAGCTCGACAGATGGCTCTCGAGAAATGGGCTCTTCGAATTCAAGGTCGCCTTCCTCGTTGTCGTCCGAAGGCACGTCAGCTTCTTCTTCCTCCCGTCGACTTTGTGCTTCAATTCGTGTCTGCGTCTGTTCATGTTCCGGGGTAACAGCAGCCGCGGAGGGCTGTGGTTTCTCTGCGAAATGTGCGTATTCCCCCAAAATAGCACTTGTCAATATCATCTTGGGCTTCACCGCTGCTGTAGGCGGTAGCATCTCCTTGTCGTTCAGGGGGTTGTCCTTCTTCTTCAGTTGTTTTTGTCTCTTCCTCTGACGTTCGGCATGCTTGGGGTCAGGAAGAAACGAGTTGTCGTAGGCCCTCTTCTTTGTTGTCGTCTTATTCTTCTTATTTACAATGGAATCCTTCTTGGGAGACCTCGTAAAACTGGACTGTGTCAAATCCAAAGCACCCACTTTCGATTCAACTTGTGGTGCTCTTCTCTTAACCATCGGATGGAAGCCCAACTGAACCAGCCCGTTTGGTTTCGCCTCGTCTTTGGAGAACCCGTCGCCGAGCTTGTACTTGGCAGACAAGGTTGCTGTGATGTTGTCTTCTATTTTGGGCTTCAGCCTCTTGAACCCACGCGGCGGTAGCTTGTCGAAGAGCAAGAATGGGCGGCGTCTCAGGCGATTTGATTGATCTGTGACAGACTTGGAGAGGTATTTGGTGCTACTGCTGGACTTCACTGACGATGGAGGCGTAGACTTGGACTCTTCAGGGGTCGTTCGCTTGTCTTCGTCTTCATCGGTGCTATACTCCAAGCTGGCATCATCTTCCGTTGCATAGTCGGCCGGACTTTGAGAAGTATCCGAGGCATATTGTGGCTCTGGACCAGTACATTTTGTGGTTAGTAAGCTGGACATCCGTCGAGCCAGGACTGCTAGGCGTAGGAGAACGTACCAAGTTCAACCTCGTGCGCATCTTCGAAATCGTACCCAGCTTGGTACGCAGCTGTCTCTTCTTCAGGAACTACACCATAGTCCTGGGAGTCTTCGTCTTGGAAGTCCTCGTCCTGGGGCGCGGGGCTTTGCTGATGCTTTCTAGCAAGGCTCGCAGGTGGCTCTCTGGTCCTCAACAACGGAAGCACAGTGGGCGAGGAAGTCCTCGCTTTGTGGGAATAGGTGCGAAAAGGGCGAGGTCTTGCATAATTCTCGAAGGGGATCTGGGGCTCCATCTGTTGTCTGGGTTCAGAAGATGAGTTTGTCGGGTTCCGCGAATCAGAAGTGATGTCCAACTACGAGGAAAGCCCGGTCATCACAAAATCCATGGCAAAGATTTCGCTTCCCAATTGCATTTTGTGGGAGCCCTGGCTCCGTCGGGTCAGGCATTTTACTGTTGGGGACATGGGAAGGTACGTTGGGTGGTTTGAAGCAATTGTGGAAAGAGCAGTCAAACATCGAAGAGCCCAGACCAGTCAAATATGTCCTCAACCAGTTCATTGCTCCCATTACCATGGGAATTACAAGTTGAAGTGAATGTCAATGGCTGGAAAAAATACACATAAATTTTTGCAAGTTGGTTGTTGAACCCCGGAAGCTAGTTCATAGAGAGAGTGCCTCCAAGTATGGGCAGATGCCGTCTATCGTGAGTGGAAAATCGCCAATCGCGACATCACAAAAGCACTTGACCAAGTCCGTAAACGCAGTCTTGTCTCTTGCCCTTTGGCTACTTTCTGAAGACCAAGCTACTGAATATTAATGTTGCAACTCCGCTCTCGCTTGTCTGCTTCCATCTCGCTTTTCTGAGCATCATCACTGTCATATTTGGCATCATAACAGACGGGACTTGATAGAATGCCATGAATGGATAATTGTCACAAAGCAGTGGTCCATCTTCCTCATTTTGCAACAATGACGATTTTGCATTGGATTGATACTGTTTGCTTGGCTTCCCTTATTAGAAGTACAAAGTCCCAGAGAACAACTGAATATCAATAACCGTACAAGAAAACCTGGTTATTTCTAATAATCCTCCAACCTCCCAGTTATTATTACCACGTGCCAGAACTGTAAAGATTCCCCATCCCATGAAAAAGTTTCGGTTAGTAATTAAGCATCCGCCATATGCTTTGGCATAGCCAGTTGATGAAACATCTTCGTATCAATCATGTGCGCAGACCTTTAGTCAGAAGCAACTTAATGATGGCCACAGATTAGCGATGCCGAGCATTTGAGCCCTCCAAGAAACATCAGTCGTATCGTATACTCGAACAAAGGAAAGCCAGATCAAAGACAGGAATATCGAGGCAAAGCCCTCGTAGCCAACTACGGCTTCTCCTTCTTGATGGTGGGCGATGACTGAGTGCTGCCGTTCGCAACCGTACCGGATTCGACAATCGTGACGCCCTCGTCCCCTGATCCGTCATCCGAAGGCGATGCGCCGGTGGTCAGGTTACCCGGCCTGCAAAGAAGATGGTTAGTTGTCACGGCGAACCGAAGTTATCTTCCAGCTTCCAAAAAGATGCGTGCCGCGGTTCTCGCTTGAGAGTGAGGTCTGGACTCCCAGAGAGATAGTGCGGGAGGATGCTTTCGGGGTGCTGCTGGTAGAGCTGTACCTGGCTGCATGGCTTCCGGCTTGAGACATGGTAGAATCCAATCCACCGTCGCTGTTGACGTTGATGCGGATACGGGGGCCGGAAACAAACGAACTGTGTCCAAAGTTGGTCAGATTTGGGTGTCGTTGGATGTCCAGGGTGAAGGGTGACTCACGTATCAGAAGAGTGGCCGCCGCTAATGCGACGGTTCCACGGCGCCTGGTGGTTGTAGATGCTGGGGTGAATGCCGACATCCGCAGTTCCGTAGGCCCCAATGTTGTACTCGTTGGTGCGGAACTGGCGACGCTCAGCGGTGATGCGCTTGAGTTCCTTCTGAGCCGGAGTGTCGGCGTAGCGAACCTGCATCAGCATGCCCTCCTCTCCAATCGGGGCGCCGTGGAACTTCTTGATGACGTCCTCGCACTCATCACGGGTCTCAAAACTGCATTGCATGTTAGCAAATGTCCTTGGATAACGGCAAAGAGTAAGCAAAGGACGAGACTTACCGAGCAAAACCGACACCGCGGCTGTTACCCATGCTATCTCTGAGAATCTTGCTGGAGACAATGTGATAGCCAACAAAGATAGCATTCAGCTCCTGAAACGATGTTAGTTCCTGTATGAATGCACGACAAAAAATCCCAAATAAGTCACTCACCGCCTCAGTCAGACGCTTGGGCAGGTTGGACAGATAAAGGTTGGTGGAGGCCTCATCTCCCTCTGCCTTGAGACGGGCGTTAAAGCTCTCACGAGCAAAGCCAACCTCATAGCCCAGGTGGTAGAAGCCACGGATGCACCTCTCCGAATCACGGACGTTGGCAAACTTGGCGAAGCCGAAGCTAGAGATGTAGTCAGTACATGGATGAATGACTGAACCAGATGACTATGGAACAAAACATACCCTTTGCAAGCTCCAGTAGACGTGTCGATGATCGCCTTGCTCTGCTCAACCTTGCCGAAGCGGGAAGCATAACGAAGCAGCAAGTCATCGTCAGTGGTGGGATGAAGGCCACGGATGTAAACGTTGCGATTGCCCTGGATGCGGTTCTCCAAGCACTGCTCGATGGACTTGGTGTGAGTGGGCGGGGTGAACACAGCAGGAACTGCGTCAGGAATGGGAGGGCTCTCCTTGAGCAGGGCCAGCAGCTCCTCGTCGACGACAGGGGCGGACTTGGCAACGCCGCCAGAGGCAATGACCTGCTCCGGGGAAGGAGTGTTGAAGCTGGAGCGGATCACAGCAACCCGGCCATTACCACCACGGTCCGAGAAAGTGCCGAAGAAAGGAGTAGCAGGGGTGGACTCGTTGGTGGAGTACGAGCCCCTACGGTTCTCGAGCCCAGGAGCCTCGCTGCTGCGCTCACCGTACGAGGCGACACGGCCAGGCGTGTAAGGCACAGAATGGTAAGGAATAGGCAGGGGAGCATATCCGGCCTGAACAGGATACTGTCCGGCAACCCCAATCTGGTAAGCCGCCTCGGGAGGCATGCCGACGTGCATGGGGACCGGGTATGTCTGGTACGCAACTTGCTGGTCCTGCATGTAGTACTGGTGACCAGCCTGGTTCTGCGGAACGGTCGAGTTGCCAGGACCAGGAGGCAACGCAAGGCTGCTGAACTGACTCATGACAGCGTTCATGTTGTCAGCGCCATGGTTGGCCTGATGACCATGGGCGGCAGAGCCGTCGTGCTGCGCATTGCCAATATGGGTCGCGAGGTAGCTTTGATAGTTGCCCTGGCGGTTGTTGCCGGTGTCGGTAACGACAGCCGGATTGGTGCGATAATGGACGGACATCTTGGATAGAACGTTCGTCTGGGTATGCCACTGTTAGTTCCATCTCTGAAGTTCACAAAGTCACGCCAACGAAGTAGAAACGGCGAGCGTAGAAGGTGAGCGCAGAGAAAGCTAACCCCGCATTGGTCGCACAACCATGAGATCTTGGGTATGAGCTGGACACTCGACGAGAATCCAGCCTGAGGGCATTGATGACCTCAAAGCAGGGGATAAATGTGCTTGACAGATGGAAAGGCTGCTTAGGAGAAAGTGGCAATTGCTTCACCGGACTCTCACTGAGCAAAACGCGGCCAGAGGAATAGGGTAAGGTGACGCGCTTAAATCCTTTCGACATCCAAAGAGCACAATTGAGGGCAATTGGATGGGTGAAGGTGACTCAAAGGTCGCGACATCATGGGGGAAGAGGGTGAGCGATGGAGAGGAAGTTATCACGAACCATTGTTTCTGATTGACAGCTTGTCAACGCGTCGCTGAGGCGTGATGTGATGATGTAGATGCTTTGAAGACGCAAAGAAGAGGTGTTTGGTAGTCAATGGGGCTCAATGGATATCCGTGAAGATAATGGGAACCAATTGTGTGCAATGTTGTGGTTGAAACCCGCGATAATTTGGATTTCGTGAGTCAGGTAAAGATTGTGTGTGGGAAGAGGAGAACGGGAGGAGGAGAAGAGGGCAGAGGCAGAGGGTCAGTCGAAGGGACGAAGGGGGACCGAGGCTTCGGCAGAAGACCGGAGTGATTGGCCGGGAAACGCAGACAAACAGCTTCCATCCTGAGGCCAGAATGAACCCCCCAGTCAGAGCATGCTGACGTCGAACGTTGACTTACCTCCAAAACGAGATGCTGTCCTTGTAACAAACGGCTGATTGGGTCGTGCTTGGAGAGATGCTTTGGTTGACAAGAAAGCGGCGGCCGGCAACGATGGAGGATGTAAGTACCAAAGACTCTGATGCAAGCGAGCGCAGGTGGATTAAGAAGATGAACCGAGCTATCAAGCAAGATGAATTGAAGAGACTGTGATGGTCGCTGGGATGGATTGTGTGTTGATGCTGTAATGATCGGAGGAAGAGTCTACCAAGAGTTGAAGACAGGAGAGTCGAGTGGGAATGGATGGCGGAGGGAGGGCGATCTTTTAACTCCCGTCGATGGTCGTCTGGAACCTGAGATGGATTGAAGGATCAATGCCGTCAGTGCCATTGAGGTTGCTTCCTCACCATGTAAACAATGTCAAGGGCAGCCACGATGTAGACTCGCCAAGGAAGGAGGCGATGTTCTCCCCTGAAGTCTGCACCAAGGACCACGATATCCGCCAGCAGTCGAGAGCTGAGGATAAGGATAATAATAAACGAGGAAGAACTCTTGCCCGCATGCTAAGTTCCAGCTTGCCGTATAAAGGAATCCGTTGAAGGGAAGAGGATTAGGAAGAGGAGAAGGAGATGATGGACCATGCTCCTCGAGATTGCACTCGCAGCAGGAACTCGGATCAACGACAGGGTCTGACTCCTCGAAGTGTCGATGCTCAAATTGGAACTCAAAAGAGGAAGGAAAGACTTCCATATCCACACTACAGATGAAGCCAAGGAATCCCGAGTCCGACTACCTCATGTTCCATTGACAGGAAGGGAGCAGGACAGGCAATTTGGTTTCCTTGTTTGCAAAAATTAGGGAAGACGTGACTGAGCCCAATGCCCTTCACTGGTGCCGTGGTTTAGATGGAAAGGCAGTGACGCTGGTGGAATCCACTTTGGAGGCTAGGGGAGTAATGACACAGCTTCAACTTGAAGCAATTGCTATGTGAAGGGTGTCGCTCGTGATACAGGTGTGAATCTTGGCTTGGTGTTTCCTCATTGCTC